ATGTATGAATAATATAATTATATATATATATATATATATATATATATATATATTTTAATAATATATTTACAATATGTACGATTGTAAATATTTGTTACTGCTTGCAGTAATATCAAAAGTGCTTTCATTCATTTTAATCTGATTTTATTTTTTTAAATCTGACTTACAATAGTTTAAAACAGTTTGAATCGGAATTAAATTTAAGAACGAAGAATCTGAAAATAAAAGATAATAAAAATTAACGATCGTGAATACCGATTTTATATTATAATTATAAATTTATGTAATATTAATTTCTTATTAATAGTTAAAATTTTACGTTTTAACAAAAATAAATAAAATTTGGATATTTTAGAACATTCAATTACTAATGTCAAGTGAATGAACGTTACTTTTTTAGTTTTTGAGAGAATTTAAAATGGTAAAAAATTCGATACTAAACATAAATAAGAATAGAAACATAGTTTCTAGAAAATCTAGTTAAACGTTGTGAAAATGTGAAAATATTTCCTTAAAAAAAAAAAAAAAAAAAGACACTTATATCCAGAAATTGAATGTATGTGTGAATGAGATATAGATTGTGGATTTTTATGCATTTTTTAAAATTTAGAAACAGAATAAAAAAATCATTAATAATTAATTAATAAATACAAATTTGTTTCTTCTAGTAAATATTATAACAAATACTCCGCTTCAGATATTTTATATATTTCTGTATACTATATTTACCGTGTGCATTTTTGTACTTTCAAATTTCTCATAAATGCACAAAAATCTGTAGTATAGTTTTCTTTGAAATAAAATTAGTATTTCCATGTGTTGTGGATCAAATCACAGACAGATAACATAGCTCTTTTTTCTTGTCAAAATGTTGCACTTCTCCGATACTTTTAAAATACAAGATTAATCGTTAATAGATTTTTTTTTATTGAGAAATAATTGTTTTATTTTTACTGTCTATTTATCAGTTATTCAATCCGCACCACGTTGATTTTACTCAATATTATTTTATAACTTTAATATTTCATATTAAGTTTAAACATAATTTCTATATTAACTTTAAACACAACAAGTGAGTTTTCCCCTTCATTTCAATAACGAAACTCGTTTCAAAGTCAAACCATTAAATTACACATCATTTAAGCATTAAATTTGAGAATTTGTCACGAATTACTCGTCACGCATACACGAAACTATCATAAATCGCGAACACTGTAGTTCTAAAGATCTGCTGGTTGAAATCAATTTTATCTAAACAATGTGATAAATACATGCCAATTCTGGTGATATCGGAAATATCGCGGATCGACAATAAACGGTTTGTCTGATAACAGGGTACATGGAATGTGACTTGAATTCTGCCATGAGCCACATAAACCATGAGTTTCCGTGCCGCGTATTATGTATTATTTGCAATCCGATTTCGCATGCCACGACCGCACCACGCGAAGGATTAGAAGGGAACGAGAGAACCGGGATCTAAATCAGGTTACAGTCGCTCCCATTAATCAGGGATTTTATGCGCCGGGAAATGATCTCGTCTAATTGATTCGGATGCAAATTTGGTAGCATGAAATCTTTCTTCTTAGTATATAGATAACACTAACGAGATAGTGATAGTAGGTTCGTCAATTTGACGAAGCTTCGAAATGATTGATTAACTTTGCAGCAAGGGACGGTAATTAAATAAAATTAAAATACGCAGTAAAATCTGATATTACACGAGCACACGAGAAACACTATTATTACTTCACCTGTAAAACCAAATTTAACTATTCGAGCAGAAATCCCGTTCCTTTGTATCGTCAAAGGTTGCGATAATAATGTCGATACGAGATTTAAATAACTACAACAACAACACTGAAAACTTTTCTGTGATCTAAAAAAAAAAAAAAAAAAAAATATGTAACTTGACGTGACCTAACTCGAGATTAAAAAAAATAAGATACGTAACTTTTATTTCATTCTATAAATTTTCTACTTAATATTTAAATGTTAGAAGGATCTAATTTATAGCTTCATCGAAATATATATTCCTTCATATACGAATAGTTGTGAACAAGCTCTGACCAATTCCAATTATAAAACTAGTGTCTACTGTCATTTCATCTATCAAAAAACAAACTGTATTTTCCAATCAAAGATCCATAATCTTTATAGTGAAACAGAATCAATGTTTCACATTTTATCTTGATTACATTTGTCTTTTCTATTATTGTCGTACGTAATGCAAAAATTGCAACAATCTTGAGAAGTGATCGATAATTGCTCTCGAAGTAGAATTAAAGTCGTTAAAGTTGATATGACCCATGCCAAAATTTCAAAAATACACAGAACATAATCTGTTCTATTAATATATAAGGACTTCTTCATTTTTCAAATAAACTGGAAGAGTGCAATAAGCACGTTATATCAAATTTTGTTAGAAAAGTTCTAAAGTTACAAATAAATGTTTAATGTTGCGTGAAGTATAGTATATACGTATATAGTATTTGAGAGATTCGCGCGAAAAACGGAGAATGTCAAGTTTTAGCATTTCTCAGGAAACAAAAATTTCAAGGATATACAAACATTCTTTCATTGTCAGAACAATGAGACAGTTTAGTTATAATATTATAATAATTATATTGTAGTGACTAAACTCTTTTATCAACTGAAGATTTTGATAATGAATAAATATTTTCATGCCGAACGAATTGTTTTTTGATAAAGAGTAGAGTTTCTGAGCCGTATATTGAAATCTCCCCTTCGCAACGACGTCTTAAAACTCGTTGCACGATTTTCTTTCACCATTTTATTGAATTTTATTTTTTAAGTGATCTTATGAATAATATTTATTTAGTTATTTAAATAAAAAAAAATATATTTTCAATTTCTTTTAAATTTTCAAAAAATAAATATAGATTCTATCAATTCTCTTAATTAGTTAAATAAAAAAAAAATATTTAATTCTTCAATCTCTTTTAAATTTTAAAATAATCGCCATCGATAATCCACCTTTCATCGTGTTCTAGAAATCTAGAAATTCCACCAATGTGCCTGATTTTCAATGACCCATCGTCAGTCATCTTTTTTTTTTTTTCTTTTTTCGGGAACAAACTCATTTCGATCTTAGGTAATTTCTTTTTCCTTCGTCAAGTTATCGAGGATGGTCGAGTGTCGGTTTCCTTCTTTTACCAATTCGCGAATATAATGGATGGGGAGCGTTCATCGATCAGTAGTGAGCGAGATAGGAAGGCATTTCCGCGTGTGTCGCTGTGCTGTCGACACCTATTTATCGATACCTTCCTCGACAAAGAGTAATTGCTGGCTTTGCGGCCTCTTGCCCTGTCAAAGCCTACTGCCGGCCACGGGCCATGAATACACTGATTTGCGCACGTGAAAGCCTTCTGCACGACCATTCACGTGCACCACGCACAAATTCCCAAACGTGTGAATAACGCGAGTTTCAGTTATGACTCTCTTGGTGGAAAATAGAATAGAGACCAGTTCGTTCCTGGCGATTTTTTTTTTCCCCCCCCCTTTCTATCCTATTATTTTGAAACGCCATCAACTACAGACGAGCTGAATATCTCGAGGGACGAGAGTTTTGGAGATCCCGCCGATGGTGATGATTTTTACACGTAATTGTAAAGGATCACGCGTTATCAGACAACAACTATTTTATATTTTACAATTTTTATATTTTTATGTTTTATATTTTTGTGTAGAACCACGGTATTTGCTTTCCTCGATACGTTTGTAAGATTAAAATTATGTATATGATATTTTTATTAGATTTTTAAGTTTCGCGTGACAATTTGAAGAAAGTTTCTGTGAAGAAAGAAATTTATCAACTATAGGAAATAGAAAACAATCAACTATAGGAACCTTGTACAGTTAAAATATTAAAGTCCTAATTTTCTCATTTATTTCAATCAAAAATCTTCGATTGTCTAGCAAAAAATCATTAAAAAGAGAAAAAAGGAAATGATGTAATGCGAAATTTCACTCAAAAAAAGACCATTTTGTCTTTTGTCATTCCATTTCGTAATTAATGTTGTAAATTGTCACTCGAAAACGGAGTTGGGCAGTAATCAATTAATTAGTTTGTAATCGTTTCTGTAATCAATTACTAGTCGTAATCATTAATCAATTTATCATTGTTAAAACAAATCATCTCAGATTAAATTTTATAATTTGTAATCATTAATCAATAATTTTTAAATCATCAAGTGATTAATTTGTATTTTATTACCATCTGTAAAATGTGTTGTTTCTTCTGCTTTAACACTTTGTTGCATAATAGTATCTGTATTGTTAAATTTATAATAACTTGTTGAAACTTATAATTTTCTGACATATTTTTGGTATAAGATTGATTTAAATTTTGGTAATAAGATTGGCATTTTGAGTGAGAATCAAAATTTTTATCATTCGAAAGATTGTGCCAATAACAATTCAAGAACTATACAAATGAGACTTTCGAATCGATAGAAAATTTTTTGAATATTTGGGACAAATCCTGATAAAATTGTAGGGTTATGCACATTGCAAAACGATGCAAATAATGAATATGTAGCTTCAACAAAATGTACACATGTGTCGATAGAAGTGAACTGCTGTTACAACCATAATCAAAGGTGTAATCATTTTATGATTAATGATTATTCAATTAATCATAAGTTTTCATTACAACGACTTTGATCACTTCTTTCATTTATTAACCAGTGATATTACTGATTATTTGATGATATCTTGATTCCACATTAATTATCACTAATTCCGTCTAGAAAGCATAGTACATTCAATTAAGCCTTAGGCAAGTTACAATTTTTCCAACTAGCGAGATCGAAATATTGGCGTTGAAAATGAAATGTTCTCTGCTTAAATAACCATGCAAAATCTCTTTCGTTGTTCGACTTTCCCTTCGTTACGTCAGCACGGCGTATTTCTCGCGGGAAATTCGTAATTTAGCCGGTTACTTACGCGACCGATTTGTCTCTCTAGTTCGAATTTCAATTCTTTTCAACTCACAGCACGCACTCTCCTCCTTCCCTTTCTATCAACGTTTTCTCCTCACGTTCCTCACCAATTGCTCTCCCGTCACTTTCATTCCCCATTGCATTCTCTCTCTCTCTCTCTCTCTCTCTCACTCACTCTCGCTCTCTCTTTCCCACAATTTTCATCCATTCCAACATTCAATCTCAATCTGAATCGCAAGTCTATCGCCATTTTCGCGATCGTTCTCCTCTCTCACTCGCTGTCCTGGCGTTTCTTTTTTTTTTTTATCGTTCCTCCGATATATTATCCCCCTTCTCTTTCTTTCGAATCTCTGATCATTCTTCTCTCGTTATTATTATTATTGTTGTTGTTCTTTTTTTTTCTTTGGTTCTGACTCAATCTGTTCTGATTTCTTTTTTGCATGATCTCGTATTGTTTTCTCGTTATTTGAATTCTGGAAACGATACAGATACCCTCCGTTATGCTTGAACTGCAGAAGCCGGGACAGTCGGCCACGACGAGCGAGGCTCCGGGGATTGCCGCCCGGTACGTCTCTGCCAACACAACAACAACAAGGCCGCTTCACGAGTCTAATTCCTAGGAATCTATCTGGTTCGCTAGAGACTTAATTAAAGAGAAAATGGAACTTCATCCGCGCGTTGTTTCCTTACTCCCGCGTGATCCCACTTTCATATTTTTCTTTTTCTTTCTTTCTTTTTTTTTTTTTCCTCCAATTAACCTCTTGCGCTGGAATGACGTGCCAAACACGTCAAGAACTTTTTGTCCCAAAATTGCAATATTTTCTCAGTTTTAAGTATATTTAAGTAAAACAAAATAGGCAAAACAAATAATAAATTTATTACTTCCCAATAATTTCCAGTGACATTATACCGACGAGTTCAAAAAGAAAGCGAATTATTGTATACGGTTTGGTCACTCGTTACGGTCCGCAATTAATTGTCAGCG